GGTCCTCCGTCCACACTCACCTCCCGGGGACTGACCCCCACCCTGGTCCTCCGCGCACACACACCTCCCGATTCCCCGGGGACTGACCACCACCCTGGTCCTCCGCGCACACTCACCTCCCGAGGACTGACCACCACCCTGGTCCTCCACGCACACTCACCTCCCGACCCCCGGGGACTGACCACCACCCTGGTCCTCCGCGCACACTCACCTCCCGAGGACTGACCACCACCCTGGTCCTCCGTCCACACTCACCTCCCGGGGACTGACCACCACCCTGGTCCTCCGCGCACACACACCTCCCGACCCCCGGGGACGCGCACAGAGGCCGGTGAAGCAAGAATGTCGGTAAGCAGCGGCTGCGGCTGCTCCGGGAGGAAGGCCCGGGGACTCCGGGACACACCGGACACGATCGGACGGTGAGAGCCGCCACCTCGGACTTGGGAGGGGAAACCAGTGGTCACTGGCTCGGCCTAATGTGATGGAGACAAAGGAAAACTCACATCCCAACAGGTGCAAGGCAAAGGCAGTGTCCACAGCCACGTGGCTCATTCCTAGTTCCGGCATCTGCTACACTAAGTGTCACGGAAAATACCTCCGGGCGGAAACAGACACTGAAGTCCTCCTCGTTCCCAGTGTTCTTGTGTCACATGGGGAGGGTCTCTGTGATTGCAAGTCCCAGGTCCAAGAAGAGACCCTGGGAGAGTGGGATCAGGACATTCACTCTCAGGACAAGACCCCGCCTGCCACTTTCGATGGGTCACGTCAAATGAAAAAGGAGAAAGCCATCTTCATGGCAGTTGCAGCCAGAGTCAAGAGTTGAGGCTCTTAGGTGAGGACAGGTCTTTATATGCATATATGGGGGCTGGGGGGATGTGATGATGAAGGAATACCTTATCTATATTGGAGCCATCTCAGACGAGCAAAACTAAGGTGTCTGGTCTTACTGAATAAGCTGACCAGGCCAAATATCACAGAGAAAAGAAAACTATTGCCTGAACACGACCAAGACTAAGCCCAATCTCTTGCTTAACTTACTATACTTCCACTTCTGATCTCTAAGACCTGCAGATATTTTACAAAAACTGTGGGAACAATAATTTGTCTAAATCATCCTCATGTATAGTTTTTTCTTTCTTTCTTTCTTTCTTTCTTTCTTTCTTTCTTTCTTTCTTTCCTTCCTTCCTTCCTTCCTTCCTTCCTTCCTTCCTTCCTTCCTTCCTTCCTTCTCCTCCTCCTCCTCCTCCTCCTCCTCCTTCTTCTTTCTCTCTCTCTCTTTTCCTGTATGGCTTATTTAAAGGAACAGTGGTAGCCTAATTTTAAGAACCTGCTCTGCAATCCCAAAGTTCCACATCTTCCAGTTTGGGATACAATTACGGCTTGTCGTTCCAAGAAGAAAAGGCCTCCATGTAATTCAGTATATGGATAGACTCAAAGGGCAATCTGCTGCAGCATGGAAGAAAGCACAGGATGCACCCTAGCTGGATGCTAAACAGGACGGACACGTCCCTTTGGTTACCACAGACACACCATGCCACTGGGAAAGTGGTCCCTGCAGAAACAGGAAGTCAAATTCAATGGATAAAGTACCACCTGGCAGTCTTGAGCCTTGATAATGAATAAATTACTCATACACATATTACAAAAGCCAATTACAATTTATTGATTGATTGATTGATTCATTCATTCATTTAGAGCAACAATTCCAATTTGTCTACACTATTTCTAAATTACCAACATATTGATTAAACAGTTGCAATTTATCTACACTGCAAATCATAAATTCTTGACAACATAAAGATTCATCAATTCATAGCAAGTATTAAATCATAAAATCATTAAATCAATATATAATATACTAAAATTAATACTAATACCAACATTAGTATGTTGAAATGGAATATAAACTGTTTCTGTATTAATAGTAGACTCAGCGTATTGTGAATCAGTAACTATATTCCAAGGAAAGTTTTTGTCTTGCTATAACATAATGGCATATAAATCCACCTGTTGAACAGAAATCAAGTTAATTTTAATTACTTTTCTATCTTTACCATTAGTATAACCTGCATAACCTGTCTTATTTGCATCCATATAGTGTCTTCTTGCAAAGGTGAACCTTTTAATTTAGTTGGTAGTATCCAGTTAATCATTTTAATAATTTGTAATCATTTATCTAAGGAATAAAAATGAGAGATCTTTCCTATATAATTTGCAAAAGCCTCCTGCCAATTATCTGATATTTTCCATAAATTATTGATTTGTCAAGATGTGAAAGGGACTAGAATTTCCTCTGGGTCAGCATATATATATATGTATATATATATATATGTGTATATATATATGTGTGTGTGTGTGTATATATATATATATATTCTGGGTCAGAAACCTATACTTGGACCAAGAGGCAGTCAACAGAAAATTGGGAAGGGTGTCCGCCAGGAACATGTCCTGTCTCCATATCTTTTCAACCTATCTGCAGAACAGATTACCCAGGAGGCTGGACTCTATGAGGAGAAATGTGGGGTCAAGATTGCTGGAAGATCTATCAACAACCTGTGGTATGCAGATGGCACAACCCTGCTTGCTGAAACTGAGGACGACCTGAAGCACTTGCCGCAGAGGGTCAAGGACTGCAGCCTTCACTCTTGGCACTAGTAGCCAGAAAATTAAAAGAGGTACTGCGGGATGGTCAGCTATGGATCAGTTCTGACTCAGCAACACACCCTAACAACAATAATATGTATATAAGCATTATACAAAGACTTATGTGTAAAGATGTTCATATAATGGGTTATTATGATGAGAACAAGATAATGTTCCAAAATAGAGACTGTTAAACATGAGTTCGTATATCTGTTGTATGATGATGTACAATTCAACTAGTAAAAAATACGCTTACAAACCATAAGTCATTTAACTGATTGAGGGATACATTTATTAAAGGATAATGATGTATATATGGAAGCAGGAGTGGCATCCACTTCTGAAATGGCTTGCCTCCGGAAACTCTACGTACCAACAGTGCTCAGGTCGCTATGACTTGTCTACAACTCCATGGCACTTAACAACAACAACAACATTGCAATAGGAACGTCTGCTTTTAGGGACCTTTCTAAAGTTGTGAAGAACAATAGCATCTTTGGAGACTAAGGTGCGTCTTATATAGGCCATGGTCTTTGAAATAATTTCTTACGCATCATAGAGTTGGACCAATTGGCAGCATCAGGATGGATGACGAAGAGATTGAGAGTGTTCACAGCTTCAGTTTG